TTTAATACTGGAGTGAACAGGTAGGATGTTTTTGTGGATCAGCTCCATGGGCCCCGGCCGGTGGGAGATCTTATCGTTCAAATCATCAGCGAGGCGAGCTTTCTTCAGCTGCAGCTGCTTGGCCTGCAGTGACGGCTCCGCTGACGTCTCTGAAGGCAAACACACAACCAAGTGATGGAGCATGTGATTGGATTCTTACAAGTTATTCGCCAGAGCGACCAAAGCTCCATCCAGGCAGAAGGTGCTATATGGCACTTACCCTCCAGGATGTGCATCCTGATCAGCTCAGATCGCTCCGGTCGGCTCCTGATCTTTCGCTTGAGATAGTCCTCAGTCTGGAGGAAGAGAGAGAAAGAAACAGCCACTCATATTCAGCTTATCATGTTTCCATAAGTCGATAATATATCAACTCTCATGAGTTCTCAGGTTCATGCTTTCTGCAGTCAATGTCTTCTGTGCAACATCATGTGCAGATCCCATATGTGGATATATTTATTTTTATTCAAAGCATCATTTCTGTTTTTTATATTATCTGGGCTACACCACATTCTTTCCACGTATTCCCAAAAAAATGTGAACATATGCTGTTTTAATGGATATTCTTACACAGTGCACTTTAAAGTCCAAGAGTATTTATTTTCTGTGCAGATGGTCCTATCTCAGCTCTCATTTGTCTTTTCCAGCCTTTCAGTATTACAGGAAGAGTCAAGAGGCACTGTAACAGTGTGACATGTTATAAGACCTATACAGAGAAGCTGCTTTCAGTCAGCGATTTGACTCACCCGTGCTCGTTCCAAGCTCCTCCTCTGTTTATGGAAGGCAGCGGAACTTTTCAGTGCTTAAAGAATAAAGAGGAGTGAAGAGAATGACATTCATGCCACTGAGGGGAAATGGAAAGCAAAATGACAATGAATGGCTCCTTCTTCAGTTCAGCACCAAAGGTTTAGCCCTCATACTGTGATTACAGTGTCAATGTACAGTAGTAAATGCCTGCTTGCATTGTGCAGGCTTGCATGCTTAATGGCCATGACAGAATAAAATGCACTGTACAAGTGCAGTCCATTTACCAGTTCAGCTCTCCACTGCCAAACTGGAAATAAACTGAACCAATGACATTATTGTGAGGCTCCACATTTATACTGGGTGGACAGTGTATGATTCATAATCCACAATTTCACAACAGTACAACATAAAACTGGAATATTGATGAAGCAAGTAACTGAACTTTATAGCAACTGAGCACAAATTTCAACTGCTGCAGACCAAACAGAACCTGGCTTGGTAATACCAGGGAATATTCAAAGTGTATGGACGGAAACAACCTTAAATTAAAGCTAAGAGTGAACACTTTAATTTCATAGTCACGGTTTCATTTCTGACCCAATGCACTGGAGCTGACACAACTGAAAATGTGTTTTGGTCATTTCTGACTGCAGTGTACCAGTGGTGTGCCTGGATTAGCAACCCTGGGGCAAGACCGCTGGCTCAAGCCTCAGTTCACGTCGGTGAGCACTGTCACACTGCTGGTACACACTCACTCTTGCACACCCTGGGGATATCAACCCTTTTCTCGCCCACACACAAGGGGGTTATGTGTCCTTCTTGAGGGTTCATGAACCTACCTGCCAGTCAGCTGCATGGGAAATGGGGGGTGGGGTGGAGGGTAGGATGGATGTCTGAGCGCAGAGTATGGGTTTGGAAACAGGGTGAAAGTCAAGGGGATAGATAGGAAGAAGACGGAAAAGCAGGAAACAGATTGAGGGGAGACAGAGAAAGGAGACAAATGCAGAGAGGCAGCTGGAAGAAAAACTGAACAACAGGCCAAAGGGCAAATAAAAGGAAATGGAGGGTTTTGGGATGAGGTCACAGAAAAAAGACCCCATTATGTGCATGAGTGGCTGCATCAAGGCTTCATGCCACCCTGTTAAAACTAACCACCATTCTCAAATTTTAAAATCTGAGAAAAGAAAGCAGCATCGCCTCCTCTGGGGGTGGCTCTTTTCTCTCCAGACTGCTCCTGAATGCTGCTTTGTTCTTCTATTAGGAGTTAACTGTTTTATGCTTAATAAACACTCCTCTGTATTTTACTTCACTCTCCTAAAGGTCAGCAATGTAAACTGGGTAATATACTGTATATGCAGAATGCATATGTGTAGTAGAACATCATCTGCAAAAACACAAACTGTCACTTCACTTGGCAGAGTAACTGGGACATGTTAACCAAAGCCTCTTTTCCACCGCCTGCTTCCGACTCAACTCTGCTTGCCTTATTTGTTTTTCCATCAGTCAAAGTTGGGGAAAGTACCTGGTACTATTTTTTTGGTATCACTGCAGTTGAAGTTCTAAGTGAGCTGGGGCGATACCAAAAGGTGACGCGTAAGCACTGCAGACTACCGATTAGTTAGAGAAACCGTGGCCATTGATTAAAAAGGATGTTTACATGTGATGACACCAGTCGCTCATTCGTCATTCTTTCATAATAGCAGCTGCCACTTCTCTGTCACGAACATTTAAGAAGAAGAAGCTTTTATTGTCATTGTGACTCGTACAACGAAATTATGTTTGGAGCCAAGGGCCCAGGGCCGCTGCGTGTATACGTGCCGCCATAACAGGCAACAGCGGGGTCCAGTGTCTTGCCCAATGACACTTCAACATGTGGACTGCAGGCACCAAGATTCAAACCTTCAACCTTCCGGTTGGGAGACGACTGCTGTACCCACCGCACCACTGTTGCCTAAAGGGTAAAATTTATGGTGACAGAGGCCTCGTGCCTCTGTTCCTACTGTATATAATATAACCATTATTAGTGATGCACCGAAATTAAAATTCTGGGCCGAAACCGAAACCGAAAATTTAGGATGCACTTGGCCGAAAACCGAAACGAAACCGAAAATGGCTTCTTTTAAAAACTTCAAATTTTTAAAACACGCTTACTCTATAATTGTGTATGTGTATACAGTGGGTACAGAAAGTATTCAGACGCCCTTAAATTTTTCACTCTTTGTTATATTGCAGCCATATGCTAAAATCATTCAAGTTCATTTTTTTCCTCATTAA